CCCACATTGCCAAGACAATCCTAAGCCAAAAGAACAAAGCTGGAGGCATCACGCTACCTGACTTTAAACTATACTACAAGGCTACAGTAACCAAAACAGCATGGTACTGGTAGCAAAACAGAGATATAGATCAATGGAACAGAACAGAGCCCTCAGAAATAATACTACACATCTACAGCCATCTGATCTTTGACAAACCTGACAAAAACAAGAAATGGGGAAAGGATTCCCTATTTAATAAACGGTGCTGGGAAAATTGGCTAGCCATAAGTAGAAAGCTGAAACTGGATCCTCTCCTTACTCCTTATATGAAAATTATATGATTTCATAAGACCATTGGGAAATAGGTTTTATGTTTGCATGCTCTTACTGATGCTACCTGTGACTTACAGACATACCTTCTTATCCTACTCTAATTTAAACAATAATACCTTTATATTGAGGTGCTTTTGAGACTTATTTAGCAAAACACATGTTCGCCAAGCCTCACCTGCTTTTGTTTTCTCTGGAGAATTGAGTTTCAGATGTTGGTCTTCTGATGAAAGGCTCACAGTGATACCATACAGTGGATCATCCAAGAAGGAGGGCCTTTTCAGTCTCCCAATGCCAAGAGTCTTTGACATAAAATAGTCTTTTGTGTCACTAATAATATCATTCTTCGAAAATTGAAGGCATTTCATATTCTCTACTTCAGTGACAAGAGCTTCTGACATGCGATGTCCAGTCAAAGCTTTAGTGAGATAGTAGCCTTTAGAAGCCTCACGTTCTGCACTCTCAAGCATATCTGCATCTTCTGCCTCAGTTTTCTGGACCTCTGTTCCTGATTCATTTAGTAATTTAGAGATGATGGACCTGGAAAGCTGGGGGAACGTAGGTATTACATCCTCAATGTCTTCATTTTCTCTTTCTGTAGAAAGTTTAATGATGGATTTTTGTTTAACTATGCATTCATCCAGAAGACACTTTAACTGTTCTTCAGAGAGACGCAATGTGGACTGTAACTGATGAAATAAACCAAAAGTTTACATAGTCAATTGACTGAGTAAACACATATATTTTTGGGAGGCATCCAGTTATACAATATAAATGCAAGTAACCCCTTATACAACACATAAAAATAGAAAAATAATTCTGTGTAAAGTATCCAAAACTGTAGGGGAAATGTCATAATCCTGGCAAAATCTTTGGGTGGTGTTTCTCTGACCCCACCCATCCCTCAGCATGAACCCCACCACCACCCAATTCCTTAACTGGGGAAAAAATTGGCATACAAGGCAGACTACCCCTACCCCTGGGGATTCAGCCCTCCCTTGTCTGTCCACAACTCTCAGTGGACAATACTGCTGAAGACAGAAAAGGAAGGGTGAAGGGTGGTGCATCCTGAGATGGGTCATTGCTTCAAAGCTACAGGTCTAGGCAGAGGCCAGGGGCATTCCAGAGGCGGTGCATTTGGGGAGAATGATTTGATCATACATATTTAATCTCTGCTTGTAAAGGTTACCAGGGCTGAGTGTTTCAACCAAGACTGTAAATATTTAAAAACATTTTTTTTCTTCTAGCAATATTCTCAGGAAGTAAATTTTAAAAAACGAGATGAAAGTAGACAGCCATGTTCTACAAGACTTCAGCTGAATAGCATGACATTTGAGTTGCATCAATCTCAAAAAGGAATGAGATTAAAATATAGTGAAACACACTGAAAAAAAAAGTGTCTACTTCCCAAAAAATCTGTCTTCCATGGTTTACATGTGGATTATCTAGGAAAAGACTAATCCTCCTTTACAGGGGGATGAATTATCTGAGAACAAGAAGTTCCATAAGAAAACTTAATCATGAATTTCAATGACTTTAATTTCTACTTCAGCAAAGTAAAATAACGCTATTGACCTACTCTGAAAGTACACAGTAAAAAATAACTAAATATTCTGCATATGTAAAGTACTAAAATAAAAAGCTATTATTGAAACTAGTATAGTTAATTCTCCACTATTACGTAAAGCTTCTAATACAACTAATAAATACTAGTATGTAAAACAATTTTGTGCCATGTTTAAAAAATATTGTTTAAAATTATATTTAACTTACCTATATTAAAACTAGTTTTTATAGCAGCAAGTGTCACTATGAGCATGAGGATAATAAGAAATTGTCTGGGAATATATTCTTAGTAATCGTTTGGAATTCAAAATTCAGGTGACTGATCCTAAGGTTAATATATATGTCAAGAAATAGGATTAGAATTATATATTAGCAAATTCTACTTTTAGTCACTAGGCATTTCAGGCATCCAGATATACTACTTTATCCATCTTTATCCAGAATCAGGAGCATTCTCTTCACTCTACTATATAAACCTAGTCAAGGAGAAAATGAAGGAAGTCCTTCTATGACATTAGATACCTAAAACACACTTTCAAACTTGGCTTACGTGAAATTACTTATAATGTGTAGACAATTCCCTAGGATTTAGAAAGAGCCCGCTGAGTGTCATCCTTACCAAACATCCTCATCAAAGCCTTATTATGATGTAATTTTTAGACACTAGAAAAAAATCAGTCCATATTAGAGCAGGAGGAGGTCTCCAAGGAAAAAAGGGTAGGAGGGAGGATTGGTAGATTATCCAATATGCTTAACCATTTCCAAAAGTAATATTGATATGATAGATGTTTGGCAGTTCTGATGATATATTTGGCTAAATACACAGAAAATGAAGCAAAAGGAAAATCAAAGCAATTGTGAACTCTGGGGAAAACAAAAAGTTTTATCAAAAAAAAGGAAAAGCGGTGACATATACACAGAAAATTAGGCAGAAGAAACTAAGATAATTATTAAAGTCTAGGACAAACAAAAAGTTACATGAGAAAGGATGCCATAGGCTAATAATTGCTTCTGATGTGAACAATATTTACACAGTCAATGATAATATAAATACTGATGACTAAAGTAAGCAAAAATTGTGACTTAACTATTTTGGGGAAATGTGAGGAGAAACAAGGGGTGTTTGCACTTTATTAGTTAAATTATTGCCTACCATTATAGCAACCCAATACATAATGTCTAAAACTAATCAATTAAGAAAGTAAGTCATTAATAAATAATATAGAGGTAAAATTCAGAAAAACATAAAAGATTTAAAAGTAGTTAACTGGAGAAAATATCAAGGGGTAGGGAAGGCTGAGGCAAGGGATTGCCATTTTTATTTAAAACATTTTAACACAACTTTTTCTTTATTACTGTAACAAAAGTTAAAATTAAATATAAAAATAAAAGTAATTTAAATGTATTTTTTTTTGAGATGGAGTCTTGTTCTGTCACCCAGGCTGGAGTACAGTGGCTCAATCGTGGCTCACTGCAACCTCTGCTTCCTGGGTTCAAGCGAGTCTCGCATCTCAGCCTCCCCAGTAGCTGGGATTACAGGCACCCACCACCACACCTGGCATACATAAATATAAATGTGTGTGTGTATACATATATATATATTTATTTATTTATTTATTTATTTATTTTTATTTTTAGTGGAGACAGAGTTTTAGCATATTGGTCAGGCTGGTCTTGAACTCCTGACCTCAGGTAATCCATCCACCTCGGCCTCCCAAATTGTTAAGATTATAGGTGTAAGCCACCATGCCCAGCCCAAATTTTTTAATAAAAATGCACTTAGAAATAAAATTTAGAATATTTAAATGAAATTCCTAAGTGATAGTATGTTTGGACATCAGAAGCTGACCCATGTTTCATGGAGCCAGAAATTTATATAATCTTGGAGCAAGAGAAGGGCATTTCTTAAAAAAAAAAAAAAAATACAAAATTACAAATTCAAAATTAGGTACAAAAGTGAGTTTCTTTTATTTTAGTATGTGAAAAAGATCACAACAAATTACTAGGATCTCGGGGAGGGCTGAGTCGATTTCTTACAGTATCTCTTTAGGTCATCGACCAGACATGCTTACAGAAATGTTTGCTGATTGCAAACTGGCTTCCTCCTTCCCACCCCAAAGCTCCTATAAGTGAGAGGCCCTGAGCTGAATCTTTACTGGCTTCATGGTAAATTGCTTCTGGGTACTATGGGATAAAACATTACACATTACAGCTTGTGTGTACACAGAAATAAGCTGGACTACAATTACCCTGATCCTCCTGGGGGAAGCAGCTGGATAGGAAAGAAAACACGGAAGACTAGAACCTGGGCTTCCATCCAAGCTTTGCTGCCTTGAGCATGTCACCTGAGTTCTCAGGGGCCCATCTCCTTTATCTGTAAAATAAGGAACTTTAGAAGATAATCTCTACATTAAATTCTAACTCTAACATTGCTTTTTATGAATAACTACTCTAAAAATAAAAATAAATTTTAAAATAAACTTTTCTACTGACGTTACAGTGTAGCCTGGGTAGAGATATGAAAACAAAATAATAGCAAGAAGAGAACTTTTATTTATTCAGCTCCTTCACAATATCAATCCTGAACTCATAAAATAACTAAACATTCTCTGGCCTCAAAATATAAGTAAAAGCAAATGAAACACATTACGCCCTCAAATTAATTTAATAACAGTGCTTCTGGGTGGCGATACAGACTGGAAACTTCAGCACGACCCATCTTTCCCATCTTTTGATTCCCAGCAGAGTCTTGCCCGCAGTCAAAGCTCAGTAAATGACTATCATGAGAACTGAATGATTAGAGTGCTTAAACCGTTTTTTAAGGTATTATATTAATATAATTTATTTACAAATACTGAACTGAAGTAAACTAGGGCTCCATCACAAACATCCCCAACTACCTTCAATAGTTAAGGAACCATCTAACCCACAGCCTTTTTCCAGATTGCTCTCAAAAATTCTGAGCTAATAAGCACCATGACTGAACCACTCACTGTGCAGGCACTGTCAAGTAACCATCTGTTCAAGTATTCACCTCAAAGTATTCATCTTTCATGCCAGCTCTAATTTCTCAGTATTCCATAAACAAGTTATTATTCATACTATTCCTATCCTTCATAAAACTCAACATAGTGCATCTCAGTCTTCATTTTTCCAGGCCAGAACCCAACTTCTTCTCACTCTGTATATGAAAGCCCCTCTCTTCCCACCTTCATTTTAGTAGCTCTTTAATGAATCTTCTTTCTTGTTTCAGCCAATACACACACATTTCATGGTAAAAGAGTAAATCTATTGGATTTTCATCGGGAAAAGAATAGAATACACATGCGGTGTTAGTTCTGCCGCACCCTGCTGATCTGGTTGGGCCACTAGGTTATGTCTTACAGAATAATAAGAAGTAGGCAGCATTCACTAAGCAGACTAGACTCTGCACTAGGCATATTACATGTATTGATTCCTTTAATCTTTGCAACAAACCTATGAGGTAGATACTATTGTTATTTCCACTTTGTAGATGAAGAAACTGAGGCACCAAGAAATTAAGTAACCTCTCCAAGGTCATATAGCTTCTAAATGGTGGACTTGAAATTTGAATCCAGGTAGTCTGGGTCCAGAGCCTAAGTGTCTAGCCACGTGGCTACACTGCCACTCGCTGTAAATGAGTTCTCCCTCTACCACCCTCCAAGTGTCCTTTTCCCAACTGCTGCTCATTTTTCTGTCCATTCTATCAGATATAGAAACTTTTTTACTTAACTTGGGACTTTATTACCCAGATTAGCTTTTGTATGTATGTTTTATGCAAATGTATACAGTGTATGTTTTATGCAAACATACATAGTGCCCTCTCTTTGAGCTCATTAAAAAAAAAAAAAAAAACCCAGCCACAGCTCCATTCCCAGGATGCCCACTGTTTACACATCTCCACCCAGATAAATGCCAGTTTGGTGTAGAAGTTAAATTTGATGAGGAATGCAACTTGTAATTGCTGGAGATGGAACACAGACTGTGGATTATCTCACTCTCATCCCTGCCCCACCTCCTATGCTATATATCCGGAGTTTCTCCAGCCATAAAAATCTCCAGTTAATTGGGCAATGGATTTTGTTGACAAGGCAATCAAGAT